CAGTTATTAAAAAGTATTGGTATAGGTTTATATTAATGAACATAGAGAGATGTTTATATAAGTGGAAATGCAGCTTAGCAAATGATATATTTAGTATGATCACAAGTATTAGTGGGAAATACTTTTTCTCTACTTCTGGTTTCCTTCTTGAGAAGGGAATTCCATTAGTGTCACCCTGAGTCTGCTCTTGCTCCTTTAAGTCACTTCATCTTTGATGTAATGACTTATCTGATTGGTAAATTTGAGAGTAGTTAGCCCTACGAATGCACTTCATTGATGTGTAGGAGCTAGTTAGTCTTTCTACAGCCGTTGAGTGATTTTTCATCTCCTCCTCTATCATATAAGCTGTGCAGGGGCTTACCTCTGCAGCGAGAGGTCAGTCTCTGTCTAGTGCTAAAGCATGCCCACCTCTGAGGTTCACTATCAGCAAGCCCATTTGTCTAGTATACCTACAGCTTCTATTTGTAATAGCAGTGATATTTTATTTTTCTCAACTTGTTCATCACTTTGGCAGGGAAAGAGTTATCAGCTTTTGGGTGCTCTCTTTGGAGGCACCTCATACATGATTCTGTTTTATTTAGCTTTACATGTATTTTTAGTAGTCTTCCATGTACATGTAGAAAAAAGTCTGGAAAGATAAGCATCATAGTTTCAAAAGAGGTTGGTAGAATTAGGAGTTTTTTTTGGTCTGTACTTTTGAAGTCACTGAATTTATTAGATGTGTAATTAAGACATAGTTAAGTATTTTAAACCTCTAAAATATACAGCATGGTCTGACTTCCCATGTAGAAGAAGAATTGGTCATCTTTGTACAAGGGAAAAAGCTGGACCTGAGTAGGTATGTTTCCACCTCATAGTGTGGTGCTTGAGTCTAGAACTTATGGTAGGCAAAAATGTATTACTGTTCTAAAATCTCTGGCTTGTCATTTAAACACATATGTCACAATAATTACTTTACATCCATTAATAGTTCAAGCAATTTGCATGGATTTTAAAAGTAAGCTCCTGATTTCAAGCTATATTACAAAGCTGTGATCACCAAGACAGCATGGTATTGGCACAAAAACAGACACATAAACAGAATAGAGAGCCCAGATACGGACCCTCAACTGTATGGTCAAATAATCTTCAACAAAGCAGGAAAAATGTCCAATGGGAAAAAGACAGTCTTTTCAATAAGTGGTGCTGGGAAAATTGGACAGCTATATACAGAATAATGAAACTTGACCATTCGCTTACACCATACACAAAGATAAACTCTAACTGGATGAAAGACCTCAATGTGAGACAGAAATCCATCAAAGTCCTGGAGGAGAACATAGGCAGTAACCTCTTCAACATCAGGCACAGCAACTTCTTTCAAGACACGTCTCCAAAGGCAAGGGAAACAAAAGCAAAAATGAACTTTTGGGACTTCATCAAGATAAAAAGCTTCTGCAGAGCAGAGGAACAGTCAACAAAACAAAGAGGCAACCCACAGAATGGAAGAAGATATTTGCAAATGACACGACAGGTAAAGGGCTGATGTCCAAGATCTATAGAGAACTTTTCAAACTCAACACCCAAAAAACAAATAATCAAGTCAAAAAATGGGCCGAAGACATGAACAGACATACAAATGGCTAACAGACACATGAAAAAATGTTCATCATCATTAGCCGTCAGGGAAATTCAAATCAAAACCACATTGAGATACCACCTTACACCAGTTAGAATGGCAAAAATTGACAAAGCAAGAAACAACAAATGTTGGAGAGGTTGTGGAGAAAGGGGAACCCTCTTACACTGTTGGTGGGAATGCAATGTGGTACAGCCACTTTGGAAAACAGTGTGGAGGTGCCTCAAAAAGTTAAAAATAGAGCTACCCTATGACTGAGCAATTGCACTACTGGGCATTTACCCCAAAGATACAGATGTAGTGAAAAGAAGGGCCACATGCACCCTAGTGTTCATAGCAGCAATGTCCGCAATATCCAGACTGTGGAAAGAGCCAAGATGCCCCTCAACAGACGAATGGATAAAGAAGATGTGGCCCCGGGGCGCCTGGGTGGCTCAGTCGGTTAAGCGGCTGCCTTCAGCTTGGGTCATGATCCCAGGGTCCTGGGATCGAGCCCCGCATTGGGCTCCCTACTCAGCGGAGAGCCTGCTTTGCTTCTCCCTCTCCCTCTGCCTGCTGCTCTGCCTGCTTGTGCTATCTCTCTGTCAAATAAATAAAAAAATCTTTGAGAAAAAAAAAAGATGTGGTCCCTATGTACAATGGAATATTATTCAGCCATCAGAAAGGATGAATACCCAACTTTTGCATCAACATGGACGGAACTGGAGGAGATTATGCTAAGTGAAATAAGTCAAGCAGAGAAAGTCAATTATGTTTTCACTTATTTGTGGCACATAAGGAATAGCATGGAGGACATTAAGAGAAGGAAGGGAAAAATGAAGGGGGGGAAATCGGAGGGAGAGACGAACCATGAGAGACGATGGACTCTGAGAAACAAACTGAGGGTTCTAGAGGGGAGGGGGATGGGGGGATGGGTTAGCCTGGTGATGGGTATTAAGGAGGGTGTGTATTGCATGGAGCACTGGGTGTTACAGCAAACAGTGAATCGTGGAACACTACATCAAAAACTAATGATGCACTGAATGGTGACTAACATAACATAATTAAAAAAAAAAAGTGAGTTCCAGCATTTAACTGAGGTTAACTGGATTTTGTATTTCTCTTTCCTACTTGCAAGGTTTGCTAAGCCTATTCATTTTGTGGCTTCTTTTATTATTCCTTGCCTTTAAAAGAGGAATAGCTCTAGATTTCTACCATCCTTCCTGCTTATTACAATAGGCCTATATGAATATAATACTCAGGTTTGGCCATATTTGAAATTATATATTTATTAAAAAGGGAAAAGATTAAACAGTGTTTCTAAAGTGGCAATTTTTATATCTCTGTCTCTCTAATAGCAGAAAAAAAGTATTTCTTGATTTTAAAATTTTATAAAAGTAGAGTAGGGACACCTGGGTGGCTCAGTCAGTTAAGCATCTGCCTTCGGCTCAGGTCATGATGCCAGGGTTGTGGGATTGAGGCCCGCATTGGGCTCCCTGCTCCATGGGAAGCCTGCTTCTCTCTCTCCCTCTGCCCCTGCTTGTGCGTGCTCTCTCTCTCTCTGTCAAATAAATAAAATCTTTAAAAAAAAAGTAGAGTAAAAATGCAACATAATGCAGTCATTATATTCTCATCATGCTTTTTTTAAATTGGACTTTTTAATTTTTATTTCAATTATGAAATACTTCAGACCACAAAAACATGCTGAGAATAATCTCTAGATGTTCCAGGGCCTAACTTAATAAACAGAACTTTATAAATACAAGTGAGCTCCTGTATACCCCCATCCTACCTCCAGTTTAATGTTTACCACTATTATACATTTTATTAATATTTCTACTACCTATATAAGTATCACTAGAGAATATAGAGCGTTATTGAATATTTTAAAACTTTATATGAAACATTCATGTAGAGTGAGAATGTAAAATGGAACAGCTGCTTTAGAAAACTATTTGCCAGTTCCTAAAAAATTAAGCATAGAATTAATCACACAACTCAGCACTTTTTTTAGATATATACCAAGGAGAGAAGTATGTACCACACAAAACTTGTACACAAATGTTCATAGCAACATTGCATTATTCATATTAGCCAAAAAGTTAAAAAATGAAACAAAACTGAACAACCACCAAATGTTCAGCTGGTGAATGGATAAATAAAATGAAGCATATCTACAGTGGAATATTGTTCAGCAATAAAATTAACTGAAGTACTGATACATGCGTCAACATGGATGAACTTGAAAACATTCTACTAAATAAAAGAGGCTAGTCACAAAAAGCCATATATTGTATGATTCTCTTTATACGAGAAGTCCAGATTAGGCAAATTTATAGAAATGGATTCATGGTTGTCTAGGGTGGGGGTTTTGGGGGGACATTGGGCTGTGACTGCCAATGGGTATGGATTTCTTTTTAGGGTGATGAAATATTCTAGAATTAGATAATTGTGATAGTTGCACAAGTCTGAATATGCTAAAAAAATCAAATTGTACACTTTAAATGGGTGAATTGTATTGGGATGTGAATTATATCTCAGTAAAGCTGTTAAGAAAGTTTAGGTGAATGTTATAGATTCTACTATTAGCTTTTTAAACTCGGTATAAACCAAATCATTATATTTTGGGATTTATACATTTTTGTACCTTTAGTTCTGTATAACTCATTTTCACATTCTACTGTATGAATTTACTGTATTTTATTAATCCATTTTCCTTTTTTGCTCTTTAAAAAGCAGTGCTTTGGGCGCCTGGGTGGCTCAGATGGTTAAGTGTCTGCCTTCGGCTCAGGTCATGATCCCAGAGTCCTGGGATCGAGTCCCGCATCGGGCTCCCTGCTCCTTGGGAGTCTGCTTCTCCCTCTGCCTCTCTCTCTCTCTTTCTCTCTCTCTCTCTCATGAATAAGTAAATAAAATCTTAAAAAAAAAATAAAAGCAATGCTTTTGTGAACAGTCTAATCCATATTTCCTTATATGATGATATATTTTTATTTTATTATTATTATTTTTTTAAGTTCAACACAGGGATGAACTCACAGCCCTGAGATCAGGACCTGAGCTGGTATCAAGAGTCAGACACTTAACTGAGCCACCCAGGCGCACCAGTGATGATACATTTTTAAGGCTTTCTTCCAAATTAGAATTTGATAGGATTATTGATGATTTGTAATTTATTTAGTGTTATTTAACTATTTAGAAGACATTTTATTGGTGTACCTTAGAACATTTAATTCATATAGTTTTACAATTTAAAGTTGAAAGTAGTAAAATTGTCTTCTGAAGTTTTTCAGTGGTTCTTTTATATTTGGCAAAAGAAAAGGGCTTCTTAACTAGTGTGCCTTTCTTGGTATTTTATTGTCAAGTGTGACATGTCCTAATTTTTATGTATGCTGATATCTTATAGAAAAAGCCACAAATGAGTACAACACTACAGAAGATTGGAGTCTTATTATGGACATATGTGACAAAGTTGGAAGCACTCCTAATGGGTAAGAGTCCCAGTCATGCCCAATGAATGTCTAGGAGCTTCATAACCTGTGTCTCTTTCCCCGATGTAACTTTGAAAGGAAAATGGAATTTTGCTCTTTACTTTTGGGGGACAAAAGTTAAGAGATCCTGGTGGCCAGATTTATGGGATTAACCTCCTCCTGAAAGAACAAGGGGAAAAGAGTTCAGCTGAAAACCTGAGATATATAAAGCTTTGACACACTAGGGACACATGTTAACAATGAATAGACTAGTTATTTAGGGAATTCCCCTGTGACTTAGACATGTATGGGAGTCTTTTCATAATGAAGTAGCTAAATTATGTAATAGACTGAAGAAGCCCTTCAATAATGAATAGGTAAATATATCATTATGAAAAAGTGAATATAAAGGTGCTTTTGGCGGGGGAATGCAGCACATAAGCTGAACTGATTATACTTTAGAAGACTGATAAAAGCATTTAACATTACAGCTTTTCAGGGTACCTTCATACATGTTTATACTTACACCTTTGAAGAGTATATATCTTGCACTTTTTTTTTTAAGATAAGAATTTGCTGTCTGAACACTAAATCTGTCTTGAAGAAACAAGAAGATAATTTATATGACATAGTTCTCTTGTGTTGATCTTTTGGAAATTATTTGGCTCTTTTTTAAAATTTTAATTTAGATTCACTTAATTAACATATAATATATTATTAGTTTCAGAGGTAGAGGTCAGTGATTCATCAATCATACAATACCCAGTGCTCATTACATCACATGCCCTCTTCAATGTCCATCACCCAGTTACCCCATCCCCCACCCCCTTCCCCTCCAGTGACTCTCAGTTTGTTTCCTATGATTAAGAATCTCTTATGGTTTGTCTCCCTCTCTGATTTCATCTTGTTTTATTTTTTCCTCTCTTCTCCTATGATCCTCTGTTTTGTTACTTAAATTCCACATATGAGTGAGATCATATGGTAATTGTCTTTCTCTGATTGACTTAATTCGCTTAGCATAATACCCTGTAGTTCCATCCATGTCGTTACAAATGGCAAAATTTCATTTTTTGATGGCTGAGTAGTATTCCATTGTGTGTGTGTGTGTGTGTGTGTGTGTGTGTGTGTGTGTGTGTGTGTGTACACCACATCTTCTTTATCCATTCATCTGTTGATGGACATCTGAGCTCTTTCCATAGTTTGGCTATTGTGAATATTGCTGCTATAAACATTAGAGCTCAGGTGCCTCTTCGGATCACTACATTTTCAACTTTTTGAGGAACCTCTATGCTGTTTTCCAGAGTGGCTGCACCAGCTTGCATTCCCACCAACAGTGTAAGAGGGTGCCCCTTTCTCCGCATCCCCGCCAACATCTGTTGTTTCCTGCCTTGTTAATTTTAGCCATTCTGACTGCTGTACAGTGGTATCTCACTGTGGTTTTGGTTTGTATTTCCCTCATGCTGAGTGATGTTGAATATTTTTTCATGTGTCTATTGTCCATTTGTATGTCTTCTTTGGAGAAATGTTTGTTCATGTCTTCTGCCCATTTCTTGACTGGATTTTTTTGTTTTTTGGGTATTGAGTTTGATAAGTTCTTTATAGATTTTGGATATTAGCCCTTTATCTAATAAGACATTTGCAAATACCTTCTCCCATTCTGTCGGTTGTCTTTTGGTTTTGTTGACTGTTTCCTTTGCTGTGTAAAAGCTTTTTATCTTGATGAGGTCCCCAATTGTTCATTTTTGCCCTTGCTTCCCTTGTCTCTGGCAACGTGTCTAGCAAGAAGTTGCTACAGCTGAGGTTAGAGAGATTGCTGCCTGTGTTCTCTTTTAGAGGAAATTATTTGGCTCTTGATTTTGGAATATACAGCCTTTGCAACAAGCTCCTCCTTTTTTTTTTTTTTTTTAAGAGTTCCACAGTTCTGTGAACAAAATATTATGTGGAATCATTTTACAGATGTATTCCTTTAATGAAGTGAAGTTTGCAGGATTTTATTTTTAAATTTAAAGTTATTTGGTAGTAGAATGCCTTATATTTTTAATGTTTAAGTTGAAATTCTGAATAAATGCTTAATATTCTTCATTTTTTTCCTTAGAGCAAAAGATTGCCTAAAAGCCATAATGAAAAGGGTAAATCATAAGGTTCCTCATGTTGCTCTGCAGGCGTTAACTGTGAGTAAAAGTCAGCTTATTATTTGACCCAAATTTTAAATGTGTATTTATTTCAGTAAGTTAAGTAAGATAATATCTCAACATTTGTATATTGATTTTTATTTTAATTAATAGCTTCTTGGGGCTTGTGTGGCAAACTGTGGAAAGATATTTCATTTAGAAGTATGTTCCCGTGATTTTGCAACAGAAGTACGTGCTGTGATAAAAAATAAGGTAAATTTTAAGAAGAGAAGAAATTTAAGTCATTAAAAAGTACATATACTGTCTATCATTTTAAGTATAGCATTAATAAAGTTGTATTATGAATGAAATCACTTTTAGCTAAGTTTGAAATGAAATAAACTTCCTGTTCTAAAACTGGATGTTTTCATTTGTAGCACCAAAAACTCTTTTCCTTCCCATAGCATATATACATGTGATAATAGCTAATCTTTATTTAGAGTTAGTAAGCAGTCACTGCTCTAAGGGTTTTACATAGACTGTCCTGTTTAATGCTCTTAATAACCCTTAAAAGTTAGATTCTCTTGTCATTCCTATTTTATAAATGCAGAAGCTGAGGCTTAGAGAGAAGTTCAGTCCCAGGTCATGCAGCTAGAACGTGGCACGGCTGAAGTTCAGATCCAGGTTTCTAGAACTTCAGAGTCCAAACCAACCACTCGCCTGTACTGATTCACACTAGAGATGGCAAGCAAAGAGGACCTTTATTTTAGAGCAGGGTTGGGGGAGCTTCACAATAGGGTTTCTGTTACTGATTTCTTTGGGATAGAAACTCTGAAGCTTCTCTTGCTATTAGTGGCAAAAATCCAGGAATTTTAGTTTAGTTGATATAAAAAGCTTAATCTGATATTGAGCATAGTAAAAAAATCAGAAGAAATAACCTTAGTATAAAAGATCTGTTGTCATTATAGTAAGAGTTAGAAATTGATGTTAAAAGGGTAATTTTACAAGAAACAACTCTATCTTAAAACGAAAACAGGCATTTATCAAGCACTCACCTAGGCTAGGGATTGATTGCTGGACTTTTGTTGATGTTTGTATAATTAAAGAGAATTTTGGTGGTGATAATCTGTTAAATAATTCAAGTACTTACTTTAACCATAGTTTTATTTCTTTCTTTGCCTTGCCTTTAAAAGGCTCATCCTAAAGTATGTGAAAAACTGAAGTCTTTAATGGTGGAATGGTCAGAAGAGTTTCAGAAGGATCCTCAGTTTAGTCTAATATCTGCAACTATTAAATCAATGAAAGAAGAAGGAATTACTTTTCCTCCAGCAGGTTCTCAGGTAAGAGATTCATTTAGATCCGTGGTTGACCTTACACTATTTTGAAGGTATGTATCTTATATAAAAACTAGGCAAGGTCTGTCTTAATCATCCCTTCCCACCTTTACTCTCCAGGTGCCTGTCTGAGATAGTGCCTTATATTTAGTAGATGTTCTAATTGTTGAGTGAATTTCTTCTATATATCAGAACTTTGAGAAGTGAATCAGCTATAAATAATCTGTTTAAGGCTAGAGTCATGCAAAAGGCATAGATGTATGAGGGAGCCCTTATGTTTAAGAAATTTATAGTAAATGTTGAGGGTAGCTATATACATGGGAAAAATAACTAAATTGTAAGTGACACATACGGATGAGGGAGGGGTAACAAAGACTAGATGCCAGAAGAGAGGGGTAACTACAGACTGGGATGGTAAAGAGGTAGAATTTTTAGACTGGAATGTATTTCAGTAGATAGGAGGGAAGAGATCCTGTTGGGGAAGGAATGCCATGAACAAATTCTTAGAATTGAGAAACCTCAAGACCTGTTTGTTGAAGAGTGAATTTGCCTGGAGTGAATGGCTTACATATAGATGAGTGGAACTATAAGACTAGAAATTTATTTGAGGAGGGCGCCTGGGTGGCTCAGTTGGTTAAGCGACTGCCTTCGGCTCAGGTCATGATCCTGGAGTCCCGGGATCAAGTCCCGCATCCGGCTGCCTGCTCAGCAGGGAGTCTGCTTCTCCCTCTGACCCTCCCCCCTCTCATGCTGTCTCTCTCTCTCTCAGTCTTTCTCTCAAATAAATATTTAAAAAAATTTATTTGAAGAGGTAGGGAATAGCTTTAGTAGGACAGTAAATCCTGTTTACTGGATAGGGATAGGGTAGGGATAATGAGTCACAGAGTGGGCTATTTAAGTGTGGGAGAAGAATGCTATCTTGAGTTTTGCTTCGGTGCCTCTTGCCTTCCACTTCATATTAGGATACGGGCTAGGGAAAGAAACTAAGAGGGTGAGAAATGTATATTTTATTTTAACTTAGACTGTAGACTAAACAGACAGAAAGAATCTTTTAGAGTTGACCAGAACTAAGAGCATTTGGGGACAAAAACCTTACAAGTAATAAAAGCAAGCATTTTTCTGCTCTGTCTTCGTATGTCAAAAACCTGTGTTTAAAGAACTAGTTGATGGTTCAGAATTGTGGACGTCTCTGTCTTCTGTGCCTTTAAATTTAAACATGCCTTCCTAAGTCCTACTGTGCCTGAAGAAGCACCACTATTCAAGTACAATGAGTACTAAATGAGAGCTTAACATGTATTCCTAGAACTGCACCCGTTGTCTCTGCCCTCTCTCTTCAGTAATTACCATGGCTTCTTGCTGCCGCTTCTTGTGGAGCTTGATGCCCCTCACTGAATAAGAGACCTTGGACAGTTGAGATCAGGGAAGTACAATCAGGAGAGATTCCTATTTAAGTACTTTCTGTATGCCATGTTCTGTATCAGATACTAAGATGGATGCAAAATGTAAGCCAGTTTGTGCCCTTTGTGAATTTATAATGTTTTCTTGAAAACTCTGACGTTTTATTTTAGTATTTGAAAATTGCTACTTCAAATTTTTACAAAGAACTTCACTTTTAAAAGAAACTCGTCAGTTTTTAAAAAAATTAACATGTGCGAGTAATCATAGAGCTTGTGTTTTCTTTGAAACGGTGCCTGTGTTCATTTTACTCATACATTTACAGACTGTCTCATCTGCTGCCAAGAATGGTACATTATCGAACAAAAACAAAGAAGATGAAGACATAGCTAAAGGTAAATGCTGAAGCACGTATAATTTAGTGTTGCTTAAAACATCCTTGCCAGAACAGTTTATTTAAATAAAAATTATAAGCAAACTGGGTACACTTTTAGTATTTTACCTCAAATCTAGTAGGGTCTGAAAAGTAAGGAAAACTTGATATGATACAATATCGATTTAATTCATAATCCTTGTCAGTAATATGTTTTTAATGTCCTACCTTTGGAGAGATTTCATTTCACCTTCTCTTTAATGCCAAAGTTATGAGTCAAGCACAGAAATATGTTCACGGCTTGTCCTATATGGAAAGCTACCCATATTATAATGTCACAATCTGTTTGCTATAAAAATAATAGCTGCTGTATATGACAGACTGTGATAATAAGGAATGAGCAAAAGCTTTATTAAAAAAAAGTCATGATTTTCTGCCCTGTCCTCCCACGTCCCAAGAAAGTTAACTATTTAGCATTTAATTGGACAAATAAAATACTTCATTTATTCTTATTAATTATTACATTATTAAACTTTTAAAAAATCAGAATTAATTCTGCCTCCTTTGTTTTTTGTGTTTCAATTTTTCAAATTAGCTATTGAATTATCATTGCAAGAACAGAAGCAGCAGCATGCAGAAACAAAATCTTTATATCCATCTGCAGAAATTCAGTTAAATAATAAAGTTGCAAGGAAAGTGAGAGCTTTATATGATTTTGAAGCCGTTGAGGACAATGAACTCACCTTTAAACATGGTGAAATTATTATTGTTTTGGATGACAGGTAAGTTTTATATCTTTATTTCTGGAATATTTTGAAGTTATTAAATATATTCTTTATTTAGAATCCTGGATATTCAGGTCTTTGACTTTGGTGTATTTAAATGATAATAGAGCCTTTTCATACCTTAATTTTTTTCTTTTTTTTTTTAAAGATTCTATTTATTTATTTGACAGAGAGAGAGAGAGCTCAAGTAGGCAGAGTGGCAGGCAGAGGGAGAGGGAGAAACAGGCTTTCCGCTGAGCAGGGAGCCAGACGTGGGGCTCGATTCCAGGACCCCAGGATCATGACCTGAGCCGAAGGCAGCCGCTTAACCGACTGAGCCACCCAGGTGCCCCGAGAATTGAGAATCTCAAGCTGACTCCACGCCTAGCTCAAAGCCCAGTGCCGGGCTTGAGTTCACAACCCTGGGGCTCAAGACCTGAGCTGAAACCAAGAGTCAGATGCTTAACCAACTGAGCCACCCAGGCGCCCCAGCTATATTATCGGATAAAAGCAACCAAAAGCTATGCGCAGTTCTTCCCCAATTCTTAACTTGCTACTCTACTCTTCCTCACAATTTCTCTATCAAAGTTATAGTAAAGAATAGATCTATTGGACATCTGAAGCTAATATAATATTGTATGTCAACTGCACTTCAGCTTTTTTTTTTTTTTAACTTTTTATTTATTTATTCATGAGAGACAGAGACAGAGAGAGAGAGAGAGAGAGAGAGAGAGAGGCAGAGGGAGAAGCAGGCTCCCAAGGAGCAGGGAGCCTGATGCAGGACTCGATCCCAGGACCCTGGGACCATGACCTGAGCCGAAGGCAGACGCTTAACCATCTGAGCCACCCAGGCACCCAACTACACTTCAACTTTTAAAAAAAGGATAAATCTGTCTCTCTTGGGCCTAATTCTATTTTTTACTTTGGTTTTAAAAGAAGTTGATGAAATTTAGCAAGGGTGACACCTAACAGCTTGTTGCTGTGAACAGAGATTGCAGATGCATTTGGTATCTGTTATAAATAACTTAGTAAGGATATATTAGTCTAGTGCGTTTTTAAATGAGTAGATACACAAAATGGTTTTACTTTCCCGCAGTGAATAGTTACTAAGAAAGTGTTATGTAATAGGCTCTGTTTATATAAAAAATGAATGAGGACACAGTTCTGTCTTCTAAAGTCTAGATTAACTGGAGTTAAAATTTCTATAGATATTTGTATGGAATACAGATTGTGAATGCCATGAAAGAGGTAATGTTGGGGTCCAGTAGAGACCAGATTTGTACCAGGTACAAGCATCTGGGAAAAAAGGCTTAACCAGGGGGTTCGTTTCAGGTGAACTTTGGTTTTGATGGGATAGGAAAAATTTTGCAAGAAATTGAGAATAAGAAAAAGAGAGTCTCTTAGGCAGTCAAGAAAGTAATCGTTTTTCTTCTTTAAATTTTTTTTTTTTAAATAATTATTCGGAGTGGAACACATCCCTGAATGAGAGTAAATAAATATTAAGGTGCAGAAGTAGTTCACTAGACTGAACACAGAGTCTGAAATGTCAGGCTTCTTAGTGTAGTTTTAGTTAGAATATTTACAAAAGAACTTAGGCTTATACTTCAGGTACTCCTATACAACTAGAAAATTAAATTTGTAAAGTCAATAGAGACTAAACTACAGTATGAGTAGTTTTTGCTCTAAGATTCAAATTTTGAGTGTTTTACGTAGTGAGAAAATATTCTAAAAGAAATTGCTGTTTGGGGCGCCTGGGTGGTGCAGTTGGTTGAGCATCTGGTTCTTGATTTCAGCTCAGGTTGTGATCTTAGGTTCATGAGTTCCAGCCCCAAGTCAGGCTCTGTGCTTAGGTTGGAGTCTGCTTCAGATTCTTTCTTCTCTCCCTCTGCCCCTCCCACTCATGCACACACTCTCGCGCGCTCCCCCCCTCCCCACTGTCTCTAAAATAAATAAGTCTTTTAAAAAATAAACTAAATTGCTACTTACAAGGTAAGTAGAGTACTGATTAATGGCACAGGTACTTTATCACTTATCTTCAGCAGCGCTGTACCACCCTGTGTTTTAATAACTCAGTTCTCTTTTTCTTTTGTACCTGTTGTGCGTACCGAATGTATCCCTTGGCATCATTGATGTTCACGTGGCATTATACTCTTATTGCAGTCTAGAGGCTTGCAGTGAGTAAAGGGTTATGTTGCTGTGCTGCATGTGTATTTCCACACTTGTTTAAGCACAAAGTCATTTAACAACTTAGACTCATATAAAAGTATTTTCATTTGAGACTTAACACTGCAAAAGAGAACTTTTGTCTTTATAACTTTTAGGAGAATTCAACATGAATATGATGGAATATGTAGGTTGATTGCTGTCATTTTAATGATAGGATACCCCAATCTTAAAGTTCCATAGATATGCTCATTAACACCTGTAGGTTAAATGTTGTCATTCTGGTTGATGGATTATCACTGGCAAGATTTTTAAGCACAAATGCAAAACTTGGGTCCTAAAGTTAAATGGCAGTCTTCAGTTAAAGAGATCATCTATGTGATCCAGAATATGACTGTATTCATTGTTTTTATATTGCTGTGGAAATGAAAGCACAAAATTAAAATTTTCATATGTAGAATTTGAAGTCCCTTGAAGAGACATCGTTCTTGGACTTCAGCTTAAGAAACACAGAGCTAATAGAAAAGGCACACATTTCTTATTAACAGAATATACCAAAAAAAAAAAACCACCTTTTCACTTTGTACATTTTTAGCTTTATCTTACCACTCCTTGTTTGTTCTTTATGTACTCTTTCAAATAATCAAGTAGGATTGGCTCCCTAAATTAAAAAATAGGTATTTTAAGGAAACAACCCCCCGCAAGATTACCAAGATTTCCAGGTTTACTATTTGTATGTTTGTGGTTTTTCACATGATTATCATATCCATAAAAAAGGCATCAGTTAATCTTGAGCCGTTGTCATTACAAAAGTCAGCAAAGGGGCCCCTGGTTGGCTCATTCGGTTAAGTGTCTGGCTTGTGATTTCAGCTCAGGTCATGATCTCATGGATTGTGGTATTGAGCTCCACATCAGACTCCCTCTTAGTGGGGAGTCTGCTTGGGATTCTCTTGGAGAATCTCCCTCTCTTTCTCTCTCTCAAATAAATAAATCTTAAAAAAACAAAAGTCAGCAAATAAGTTGTTTTATTTGAGAAGTCAGTAGCCTAAAAGAGAGACTCAGGTTTTCATTTATTTTGAGACCTAATGGCAGCAGAGCAGATGTCATTTATATTTGCATAGCCCTGATTTCCTTTTCTTCCTAGCAAATGCCAGTTTAATCCAAAACCCATGTAGATTTCACATCTTCTGAGCAGCCTTTACTCTCTGTCGTTAGTTTCCAATAGTTAGAAGTTCTTTCTCTGTGCTGCTATAGCTCCTGCACATAGTAGCATTGCTCATACTGTACTGCAGTCACATCTCTACATATGTCTCTCCGGCTATATGATTCTGAAGAGGGTCAGCACTTCCTTGTGTGGGAGGAAGGGGGAAGGAGAAAACAAATCCCACAAGGTAGAGCAAGGTAACATGTTCTTAGTTGGTACAGGAGGGTTGAAAAACACTGCACTAGATTTTCATTCTTGAGGGCAGAAACTGTCTCCATTAGCTTTGTAACTTCAGTGTTTAACCTGATGTCACTTGGCCCCTCTTTGGTAGGCTTAAGTGTTAACATAAGTTTTAGCTGTATAATCAGTTAATTGATAGTAAAGTTTCTGTCTTTATCACTTTTCACTCACTTCAGCTGTGATTTATTTTTCTTACTATAAAGAGCTCTAAATATAAATGCTGCATTTAATTATTAAGCAATTTATGTAAAATTATAGTGCTGAATTGCCTTAATTTAGAAATTTAAAGTTGAACAGTACTTTATGTCATTAACATTCCAAAGAATCAACAGATTGTCCATGGAGAGAATGTAGATAGAGCTGGATTAGGGCTAGGAAGGAGTCATCATGCTTTGACATGGCATTTGGTTGTTTTGCCTACTTTTATGCTTCATCAGGGAGTTTGTAGTAGTGGTTGGGAGGGAAATGATCCTACATCCTACATTAGTAGGACCACTAGAGAAGGCTACAGATAAAATTATTGATAGGTTCAAATAAAATCCACGTATCCATTTCATAGGTTGGGTTTTCTGGTTTTTTATAACAATTCCTCTGAGTTTAGCTGTCCTTTTTAAAATGGTATGTTTAATTTAAAAAAGTGTGTAAGAGAATTTCTTATTTTATATAGACATCTGCAAACATAAGAATTGTCAATACATCAATTATTTTCTGGTTTTAAGAATTTGGGTGATATATAGCTCACATCTTTGTGGTACTTTTTAAATGAAATGATGTTTCAGAGTCCTAGGAGTTAATTCATCCTGAAGTTTCATTTTTAGGAATGTCTATTCAATAAGTCAAATTTTTGGAAAGGAATAGATGAAATTATCATTTCTAGATTCTATGATTGTCCATATAGAAGATCCAAGGGACTCAATGGACAAACTATTAAAATTGTAAGAGTTCATCAGGGTTGTTGGATACAAGCTCAACATACAAAAATCAGTGGGTACTTTAATCACAGCTATTTAGAAAATGTAATAGAAAAAAATTGCCATTCTCAGTAGTAATAAAAATTATAAATGATCTAGGGATAAATCTAATAAAGATATGTGAGGACTTTATGGAGAAAGTTACAAAATTCTTTGAAAGATATAAGGAAATATAAGTATATATAGTATGTTTATTTTTTTAAGATTTATTTGAGAGAGCGAGCACAAGTGGGAGGGGCAGAGGGAAAGGGAAAGAGAACCCCAAGCCGACTCTTTGCTGAGTGTAGAGCCCATTGCGGGTCTGGATACCAGGACCCTGAGATCATGACCTGAGCTGAAACCAAGAGTCAGAAGCTCAGCTGAATGTGCCACCCAGGCGCCCCTATGATATATTAAGTATAAATGGAGGGAGATACCATATTCATGGTGAAGAAAACTTTAATGTTGTAAAGATTTCATTTTTCCCATATTAATGAATACAGTGCATTTCTAATTAAAATCCCAGTAGGACTTATTTTCAGAGACCTTGAAAACATTTTAATTTTAACATTAATATGGAAATAATGAAAGTATGCAAGAGACGGTACTTTCCCTGCCAAGTATCAAGGCCTATTAATAAGCTGTAGTAGTAAATAAGTATATAGATAGTTCAACAGAATGGAATCCAGATCCGTCTACTCATGAACAGATAGCAGCCTGCTGTTTGAAAGATAAGATATCCTAAATCAGTAGAAAAAACAATGTACTAATCAATAAATTTTTGCCGGGAGGAATGGCTCTTTATACAGTACAAATAAAACTTTGATTCAGTTTCACATAGTACATATGATTTCATTCCAAATGAATTAAAGACTTAAACATGGGGTGGGGTGCCTGGGTGGCTCAGTCGATTAAGCCTCCAACTCTTGGTTTCTGCTTAGGTCATGATCTAAGGATTGTGAGATCGAGCTCTGTGTGTCAGGCTCCACGCTCAATGCAGAGTCTGCTTGAGATTCTCTTTCCCTCTCCCTCTGCCCCTCCCCGTGCTTGTACACACATGCACTCTCTCTCTCTCTAAAATAAATGAATAAGAAAAAAAAGAAGACTTAAACATGGGGGAGAGATAAGAAAGAAAACTGAAAACTATTACGTATAATAGAAAACAGATTTGGGAGTTTAGGGATAGAGAAAGATTTAAGAAAACTATAAACCATAAAAGAATGCTAAAATTTGATTACATGGAACAAAAAACACCATGCAGTAAAAGAAACTATAAACATATGTTAAAAGACAAGTGACAGTTTGAGAGAAGGTATTTGCATAATTCAGACAAACAGTTGCTATCCAGAATATATAAAGAACTCCTACAGATCCATGAAAAGAGATAAATAGCCCAGTGGAAAAGAAAAGTGGACAGAAAACATGAACAAGTAGTTCATAGAAGAGGCAGTCTGAATGACCGGCAAAACGTGTGGATGCTCAGGAAGTGCAAATGAGCATAGTCTTGAGATACGATATCTCTCCTGTCTGATAGCAAGTGTTGCTTGGACAGTTAACAAGCATGAGGGAAAATGACATTCTCACATGCTGCTGAGGGAAGGAAGGTGGTGCATTGCGATAAGCAGTTAAGAAGACTATTTGGCAGTATCTGGTAAAATGGAAAATGTTTTTTATCCTGAGGCCCAGCAAGTCCACATCTGTGAGTAACCTAAAGTATTATTGCTTGTGTGCCCTAGAATCTAGAATAATCATTACACCAGTCTTTATAAAGTGAAAGACTGGAAATATTTAAGTGTCCATCTGTATGGGGATAGATAAATCAAATATGCTGTATTCGGGTGATGAGTCTTTAAAAGGGATAAACAAGATATGAAAACACATATAAAATATAAAAATCTATAATGATTTATATATATATATATACATATATATATAAAGTTTGCCATAGGTGTATGTAAACAAAAATACACTCACAGGAAGGCTACATACCAGCTTTATGGTAATGGTTTGGTAGGTTGGATGTGGGGTTGGGACTTGGGGTTGTTAATAATTTTTTTTTTTAAAGCCCCAAGTCAGCTATGACTTGTTAATTGGTTTTAAATTTAAATATGGGAATGTGGATGTTTGCTTTATCTGTGCTTTTCTATATCTTTTATTAAGAACTGCTTTTAAATATAGTTGGATATGAATTAGTATTTTCAGAGTAGGCTAAATTTAATTTTTATTTTAATTCCTCTTGCTGCTAATGTACTTGAAATGTAGAGGAACAAATGACATTTTTGTACTGTATTTTCAGTGATGCCAATTGGTGGAAAGGAGAAAATCACAGAGGAATAGGACTCTTCCCATCTAATTTTGTAACAACTAATTTAAACATAGAGTCTGAGGCAGGTAAGTTAAATTTTAGGGAAGATTAAATCTGTTAGTTTTTTACACTTGAGTTTTATGGTTCAGTTTTGTTATTTTTTTATTGTTTTTTTTTAAGTAATTTCTGTGCCCAACATGGGGCTCGAACTCATGACCCTGAGATCAAGAGTCACATGCTCTGCCGACTGAACCAGGCAGGTGCCCTGGTTCAATTTTGAATATAAAGTAGATTGGCATTTTACTCTGTTTTAAATTATTTATAGACAATACAGTTTAATTTCTTACCAAATTAAAGGGTTAACTTATTCCAAGTCAGTTCCAAGAATTAATTTTTTTATCATTTTATTTTAAACTCTGAGAATTAATGTGCATAGTTACATATAAGGCATAAAACAATCTGATGACCATGCAGATATTTAATTCAACCAATTATGGTTTAAGAGGCAGTCCCTCTCGTGCTCTCATTCTCTCTCTCTCAAATAAATAAAATCTTTAAAAAAAAAAATGAATCTTCGGTATAAAGAATATTGGTTTTATTCATCACTGAACCACAGTATCGAAGGGCGTAGGTGGCGGGGTGGTTGGCTGGTTGACAAGTGCCAAGTGTGATTACAAGGGTTAGGAGTACTCCTAAATTTTAAATTTTTCCTCACCTTGATTTGATCCTAGGGAACTTGAAGCAATAATAAAACAGTATAATTAAGACAGTGGGTTCCTGCTTCAGATCTTCTGCTGTCAGCCATGCAGAGAAGGCTTCCATTTGTTATGCAGGCAGAAAGGTGGGGGTTGCTGAGTGTAAAGAACAGCTAATAGTATTACTAACGATGCTCATGATCAGAAATTAATACAGTTCAGTGGTGTTTGAGTATTCATTTATCAGGTATTTCGCAAAGTCTTTGGCTTGCACTATTTCATTTAATCCTCATAACTTGAGATAGGTTCTTCTGTTACCCCATTTTACAGATAAGGAAACTGAGGCTGAGGGTTTATGTGGCTAGTAGGTGATAGAGCCATGATTCTAAAGTCAGCCAGTCTGCTCTTAGATGTACCTATACTGACTCACTGCAGGACATGTCAGTGCTAGTTTGTATTATCGGTGTTAGAGAAAAAACTTAAATTGTGAAAGCTCTGTGCATTGTGGGGAACATCATCTTTGTATGGGCGGACTGAGGCATCCAGTTAAAGTAAACTTGAGAGACTTAAAGACTGAGTACTTTGCCAGTATTTATACTTTTTATTCCTCCAAACTGACTCTAAGTAGTTGTGAAAATTGGTGACGCTGTTTTTAATAACTTTGTAAGACCATGCTCAGGGGATCCTTTATAGAAATTACCCCTTGGGATAGGCTAGAGCGCCTGAGCTGTGGTTTTAAAAGTAAAAACTATTCTGGCTTTTCAGTATATCCTCATGTGATGTTGAGCTCTGTTTCTTAGGACCTGTTTGAAAGTTAGCCACATATTTGAAGTAAGTGGCTAACTGTTGGGACTTAAAAATCCTTTGGTTATAGAGATTTTTTTTTTTCCTGAGGGGTGTACATTTTATTGGAAACCTTAAGTACTTTTTAGACAGAACACGATGTCTTCATTCAAGGCTCTCACGTGGCCTTGAGCGCAACAGATTTTTGGATTAGAGGCAAGGTAGATTTTTATTGTAATTTTATTTTTTATCAAAATTTACTTTATTAAAATATAGTACATTACAGCAACACGCGAGTGAACATTAAATTGTTTTCTGGTTATGTACCTTTATAAATTATCTTTCAACCTTCTCTTTTTGAAAGGTGGGTTTTTTTTTTTTTGTTTTCTGTTGCTTTAAAACTATTATCAAAGTTAGATTGAAATTGAGTATTTTTTTTTCATTTTGAAGATGAAATCGAGTATTTTTTTGTTCATTTGGGAAATACATTTTTTTTAAGATTTTTTATTTATTTATTTGACAGAGAGAGACACAGCGAGAGAGGGAACACAAACAGGGAGTGGGAGAGGGAGAAGCAGGCTTCCTGCTGAGCAGGGAGCCCGATGTGGGGCTGGATCCCAGGACCCCAGGATCATGACCTGAGCCGAAGGCAGACGCTTAACGACTGAGCCACCCAGGCGCCCTTGGGAAATACATTTTTATAGCAAGGAAAGTGTAGAAGGAGCTCATGTATTTAACTCTGAATTTAGCTGTTCAGATTACACTCTGCTGTCTTGTATATTCACCCTAGTGGTAACACTCAGTTTTCCAGAAAATACCTATAATGACAGTTCCCGTTAATATTGCTCACTTGTTCCACTAGAAGGTAAGTTCCATCAAGGCAGAGATTCTTGCAGTTTTATTCACTGATGTATTTCCAATGCCTGGCACATAGTAAGGGCTAATAAATGTTTGTGGTATGAATGAATGAACATATGTAATAACGTATATTAATTGTGAAATGTGATGACTAAAGGGTTTCCTTTTTTTTCTTATGGATAATCACAGGCTACTTACATATTAGTGACTAAAATACCAAAGTAAATGCTGAGGAACTTAAAGTTTACTTTGTTTCCATAGCAGCTGTGGACAAATTGAATGTAATTGATGATGAGGAGGAGGAAATTAAGAAATCAGAGCCTGAGCCTGTTTATATAGATGAGGTAGAGTTTTTCTTTTGTTTAATAGTTAAACTATCAATACTTTTAAAATCTATTATCCTTGAGAATGCTTGGAAAGAGTAATTTTTATGGTCATTGAAATGAAAGCTTTTGAGTTTCTAAGTGTCCATTTACTTTTTTAGGATAAGATGGATAGAGCCCTGCAGGTACTCCAGAGTATAGATCCAACAGATTCAAAACCAGACTCCCAAGACCTCTTGGATTTAGAAGGTACTTAGTGAGCCTTAGAGATTACTTTAATGTCATTTAATATTTTAGCTATTTATAATGTCTAAAATGTCTTCTGCCTTGTGTTTGCTTCTAGAAATTAAAGATCTCTGGTGGGAAACAGACTAGTGTAATAAAATAGTAAACACATAACTTGGAAGATGTTATAAACCTGCCTATCATGTTCAAGAAGGAAGTCTTTATTTTTCTGTAAGCCCACTAGTGATATTGGCTGAAGAGAGTTGCAATCCAAAAAAGGACAGAATTAAGAATAAGAGCATATTAAGTTAATTGAGTCAAAGTGTTAGAAATTTTTATTTTTCTTATAATTCTCTTGTATCATGATTTTAAAGGGCAAAATTATACATGATTGGTGTTAACTTTGTAATGTAGTCATTTGTTGCATACTGATGTGTCCTTTTAATCCCCAAGAAATTTGAAACAAATGTTTTTTTGCCTTTTTTTAATCCTTTGGGAGAAAAATCTCTGATAAATGGATAAATCTTAAATCTTTTTATAGAAGAAACTGGTTATGAATATAGGATACTATGCTATTCATTTTATCAGTGTTTACATTAGGAAATAACACAAAATATTTAATTTTAAAGTGGCTTAGGTCCTTGAAAAATGTTCATATGTAATCTGTACACAATTATATATTTTATATACTGTGACTCAAGTTCATTTACTTAGCTAATAATAGTTTTCTAGGTTTTGTGATAGCTCCAGATTCACAGTCATAAACTTAGTACTTAAGAGAACATGGTCGGATTTCTCTTTTGATTTTGATTTTGCCTTTGGTCACAGATACTAATATTGGTGCTGACTAGTATTAAAATTAGGTCTCTTATAGTCCTTTCTCTAACATAAACCTCATTTTCTTTGTATTATGCGTGGTGTTGTATATCAGTGTGCTCCATTGTTAAAAATTGTTGAAATTGATTTGAACTGGTTTAAGTTTCAAGGTTCAAAATTATTTTTGAATTTACAGATATCTGCCAACAGATGGGCCCAATGATAGATGAAAAACTTGAAGAGATTGATAGGTGAGATTCTTTGTGCAGGAATAACAAGTATAGTTTTCTTTCTTTCTTTCTTTCTTTTTCTTTCTTTCTTTCTTTCTTTCTTTCTCTTTCTTTCTTTCTTTCTTTCTTTCTTTCTTTCTTTCTTTCTTTCT